TGTGTGTGGAGGGTCAGTAGTGAGGGTGTGTGTGTGTGTGTGGAGGGTCAGTAGTGAGGGTGTGTGTGTGTGTGTGGAGGGACAGTAGTGAGTGTGTGTGTGTGTAGTGAGTGTGTGCGTGTGTGTGGAGGGTCAGTAGTGAGGGTGTGTGTGTGTGTGTGTGGAGGGTCAGTAGTGTGTGTGTGTGTGTGTGTGTGTGTGTGTGTGTGTGTGTGTGTGTGTGTGTGTGTGGGTCAGTAGTGAGGGTGTGTGTGTGTGTGTGTGGAGGGACAGTAGTGAGGGTGTGTGTGTGTGTGTGTGGAGGGACAGTAGTGTGTGTGTGTGTGTGTGTGGAGGGTCAGTAGTGAGGGTAGTGTGTGTGTGTGTGTGTGTGTGGAGGGTCAGTAGTGAGGGTGTGTGTGTGTGTGTGGTGGGACAGTAGTGAGGGTGTGTGTGTGTGGAGGGTCAGTAGTGAGGGGTGTGTGTGTGTGTTGGAGGGACAGTAGTGAGTGTGTGTGTGTGTGTGTGGAGGGTCAGTAGTGAGGGGGTGTGTGTGTGTGTGGAGGGACAGTAGTGAGTGTGTGTGTGTGTGTGTGTGGAGGGACAGTAGTGAGTGTGTGTGTGTGTGTGTGGAGGGTCAGTAGTGAGGGTGAGTGTGTGTGTGTGTGTGGAGGGTCAGTAGTGAGGGTGTGTGTGTGTGTGTGTGTATGGAGGGTCAGTAGTGAGGGGTGTGTGTGTGTGTGTGGAGGGTCAGTAGTGAGGGTGTGTGTGTGTGTGGAGGGACAGTAGTGAGGGTGTGGTGTGTGTGTGTGTGTGGAGGGACAGTAGTGAGTGGGTGTGTGTGTGTGTGTGTGGAGGGTCAGTAGTGAGTGTGTGTGTGTGTGGAGGGACAGTAGTGAGGGGGTGTGTGTGTGGAGGGACAGTAGTGAGTGTGTGTGGTGTGGGTGTGTGTGTGTGGGACAGTGTGTGTGTGTGGGTGTGTGTGTGGAGGGACAGTAGTGAGGGTGTGTGTGTGTGTGTGTGTGGGACAGTAGTGAGGTGTGTGTGTGTGTGGAGGGACAGTAGTGAGTGGTGTGTGTGTGTGGAGGGACAGTAGTGAGGGGTGTGTGTGTGTGTGGAGGGACAGTAGTGAGCGTGTGTGTGTGTGTGTGTGGAGGGACAGTAGTGAGGGGTGTGTGTGTGTGTGTGGAGGGACAATAGTGAGGGTGTGTGTGTGTGTGTGTGTGGTGGGACAGTAGTGAGGGTGTGTGTGTGTGTGTGTGTGAGGGACAGTAGTGAGGGTGTGTGTGTGTGGAGGGACAGTAGTGAGTGTGGTGTGTGTGTGTGTGTGGAGGGACAGTAGTGAGGGTGTGTGTGTGTGTGTGGTGTGGGTCAGTGAGTGTGTGGTGTGTGTGTGTGTGTGTGGAGGGACAGTGTGTGAGGTGTGTGTGTGGAGGGACAGTAGTGAGGTGTGTGTGTGTGGAGGGTCAGTAGTGAGGGTGTGTGTGTGTGTGGAGGGTCAGTAGTGAGGTGTGTGTGTGTGTGTGTGGAGGGACAGTAGTGAGTGGTGTGTGTGTGTGTGTGTGGAGGGACAGTAGTGAGGTGTGTGTGTGTGGAGGGTCAGTGAGGTTGTGTGTGTGTGAGGGTGTGTGTGTGTGTGTGTGTGTGTGTGTGTGTGTGTGTGTGTGGAGGGTAGTAGTGAGGGTGTGTGTGTGTGTGTGGGAGGGACAGTAGTGAGGGTGTGTGTGGGTGTGTGTGTGTGTGTGTGTGGAGGGTCAGTAGTGAGGGTGTGTGGGTGTGTGTGTGTGTGTGTGGAGGGACAGTAGTGAGGGTGTGTGTGTGGAGGGTCAGTAGTGAGGGTGTGTGTGTGTGTGTGGAGGGTCAGTAGTGAGGGTGTGTGTGTGTGTGTGGAGGGACAGTAGTGAGGGGTGTGTGTGTGTGTGTGTGGAGGGACAGTAGTGAGTGTGTGTGTGTGTGTGTGGAGGGTCAGTAGTGAGGGTGTGTGTGTGTGTGTGTGTGTGGAGGGTCAGTAGTGAGGGGTGTGTGTGTGTGTGTGGTGGGACAGTAGTGTGTGTGTGGAGGGTCAGTAGTGAGGGTGTGTGTGTGTGTGGAGGGACAGTAGTGAGTGTGTGTGTGTGTGTGTGGAGGGTCAGTAGTGAGGGTGTGTGTGTGTGTGTGTGTGGAGGGACAGTAGTGAGTGTGTGTGTGTGTGTGTGGAGGGACAGTAGTGAGTGTGTGTGTGTGTGTGTGTGGAGGGGTCAGTAGTGAGGGTGTGTGTGTGTGTGGAGGGTCAGTAGAGAGGGTGTGTGTGTGTGTGTGTGTGTGTATGGGAGGGTCAGTAGTGAGGGTGTGTGTGTGTGTGTGTGGAGGGTCAGTAGTGAGGGTGTGTGTGTGTGTGGAGGGACAGTAGTGAGAGTGTGTGTGTGTGTGTGGAGGGTCAGTAGTGAGGGGTGTGTGTGTGTGTGGAGGGGACAGTAGTGAGGGTGTGTGTGTGGAGGGACAGTAGTGAGGGTGTGTGTGTGGAGGGGACAGTAGTGAGGGTGTGTGTGTGGAGGGACAGTAGTGAGGGTGTGTGTGTGGAGGGACAGTAGTGAGGGTGTGTGTGTGGAGGGACAGTAGTGAGGGTGTGTATGTGTGGAGGGACAGTAGTGAGGGTGTGTGTGTGTGGAGGGACAGTAGTGAGGGTGTGTGTGTGTGTGTGTGGAGGGACAGTAGTGAGGGTGTGTGTGTGTGTGGAGGGACAGTAGTGAGGGTGTGTGTGTGTGTGTGGAGGGTCAGTAGTGAGGGTGTGTGTGTGTGTGTGTGGAGGGACAGTAGTGAGGGTGTGTGTGTGTGTGTGGAGGGACAGTAGTGAGGGTGTGTGTGTGTGGAGGGACAGTGTGAGGGGTGTGTGTGTGTGGGGGACAGTAGTGAGGGTGTGTGTGTGTGGAGGGATAGTAGTGAGGGTGTGTGTGTGTGTGTGGAGGGACAGTAGTGAGGGTGTGTGTGTGTGTGCGTGGAGGGACAGTAGTGAGGGTGTGTGTGTGTGTGTGTGTGTGTGTGTGTGTGTGTGTGGAGGGACAGTAGTGAGGTGTGTGTGTGTGTGTGTGTGGAGGGACAGTAGTGAGGGTGTGTGTGTGTGTGTGGAGGGACAGTAGTGAGGGTGTGTGTGTGTGTGTGGAGGGACAATAGTGGGTGTGTGTGTGTGTGTGGTGGGACAATAGTGTGTGTGTGTGGAGGGACAATAGTGAGGGTGTGTGTGTGTGTGTGTGTGGTGGGACAGTAGTGAGGGTGTGTGTGTGTGTGTGGTGGGACAGTAGTGAGGGTGTGTGTGTGTGTGTGGTGGGACAGTAGTGAGGGTGTGTGTGTGTGTGGTGGGACAGTAGTGAGTGTGTGTGTGTGTGGTGGGACAGTAGTGAGGGTGTGTGTGTGGTGGGACAGTAGTGAGGGTGTGTGTGTGTGGTGGGACAGTAGTGAGTGTTGTGTGTGTGTGTGTGTGTGGTGGGACAGTAGTGAGGTGTGTGTGTGTATGTGTAGTGGGACAGTGTGTGTGTGTGTGGAGGGACAGTAGTGAGTGTGTGTGTGTGGTGGGACAGTAGTGAGTGTGTGTGTGTGGGACAGTAGTGAGGGTGTGTGTGTGTGTAGGACAGTAGTGTGTGTGTGGTGGAGGGACAGTAGTGGGAGTGAGGGTGTGTGTGTGTGTGTGGTGGGACATTAGTGAGTGTGTGTGTGTGTGGTGGGACAATAGTGTGTGTGTGTGTGTGTGGTGGGACAATAGTGAGGGTGTGTGTCTGTGTGTGTGTGTGTGTGTGGAGGGACAGTAGTGAGGTGTGTGTGTGTGTGTGGAGGGACAGTAGTGAGGGTGTGTGTGTGTGGAGGGACAGTAGTGAGTGTGTGTGAGTGTGTGTGGTGGGACAGTAGTGAGGGTGTGTGGTGTGTGTGTGTGGGACAGTAGTGAGTGAGTGTGTGTGTGTGTGGTGGGACAGTAGTGAGTGTGTGTGTGTGGTGGTGGGACAGTAGTGAGTGTGTGGTGTGTGTGTGTGTGTGTGTGTGTGTGTGGAGGGACAGTAGTGAGTGTGTGTGTGTGTGTGTGTGTGTGGAGGGACAGTAGTGAGGGTGTGTGTGTGTGGAGGGACAGTGTGTGTGTGTGTGTGGAGGGACAGTAGTGAGGGTGAGGTGTGTGTGGGAGGGACAGTAGTGTGTGTGTGTGTGTGTGTGGAGTGTGTGTGTGTGTGGAGGGACAGTAGTGAGGGTGTGTGTGTGTGTGTGGAGGGACAGTAGTGAGGGTGTGTGTGTGGGTGGAGGGACAGTGTGTGTGTGTGTGTGTGTGGAGGGACAGTAGTAGTGAGGACAGTGTGAGAGTGTGTGTGTGTGTGGTGGGACAGTAGTGAGGGTGTGTGTTGTGTGTGTGTGGTGGGACAGTAGTGAGAGTGTGTGTGTGTGGTGGGACAGTAGTGAGTGTTGTGTGTGTGTGTGGTGGGGACAGTAGTAGTGAGTGGTGTGTGTGTGTGTGGTGGGACAATAGTGGTGTGTGTGGAGGGACAGTAGTGTTGTGTGTGTGTGTGTGTGGTGGGACAGTAGTGTGTGGTGTGTGTGGTGGGTAGTGTGTGAGGGACAGTAGTGAGGGTGTGTGTGTGTGTGGTGGGACAGTAGTGAGAGTGTGTGTGTGTGTGTGTGTGTGTGAGGGGTGGGACAGTAGTGAGGGTGTGTGTGTGTGTGTGGAGGGACAGTAGTGAGGTGTGTGTGTGTGGAGGGACAGTAGTGAGGGTGTGTGTGTGTGTGGAGGGACAGTAGTGAGGTGTGTGTGTGTGGAGGGACAGTAGTGAGGTGTGTGTGTGTGGAGGGACAGTAGTGAGGTGTGTGTGTGTGTGTGTGTGGAGGGACAGTAGTGAGGTGTGTGTGTGTGGAGGGACAGTGTGTGTGTGTGGAGGGACAGTAGTGAGGTGTGTGTGTGGAGGGACAGTAGTGAGGTGTGTGTGTGTGTGGAGAGGGACAGTTAGCCAGGTATATATAGTAGATAGTAACAATACCATGAAGCACGAGTCACCACGTGGTTAACTAACCTTGTATTCTGGACCCCGGAGCATAGTAAGCGTCGGAGGCCGTGAAGGAGTGCTTAAAACTCGCAAGAGACCTAGGCTCGGTGTTCGGGTGATTAGGTCTATTAGGGATTTCCCTGATGCAGGCCTCAATAGGCGCTCCATCAGGGAAGGCCTCACAGCCTACCAACACCGCCACCAACAACACAATCTTCAAGCTCAACATGGTTCAGTAACACTCTCAAAGTCTCCTTATAGAAGTATTCTCCGTGTTTACAAGGCACAGTAAGAGTGTTTCTGGCGCGGGGGGCAGCGGTAGTGCCGGTCACGGAGGCCGGGGCGGGAGTGGAGCTCCGCGCCCCCCTCGCCAGCCTTTTATAGCTGGCTGGTGACGTCACTGGTCACGTGTCTTGGGGGGGTGTTTGTTGATGGTGACGTCATCGGTCATGTGACTCAGGGGGTTAGGGGAGGTGGGGGGGTGTTGCTCTCAGACCTTTCCAGGAGAGTAAACAGTCATTGGGTTGAGTCACCTCACTCACCTTTCTGACACCTGTCAACTCTCCCCTCACATCTGTTAACTCTCCCTCACACCTGTCAACTCTCTCTCACACCTGTCAACTACCCTTCTCACCTGTCAATTACTCCTCACACCTATTAACCCTCTCTGACATCTGTCAATCCAACCTCACACCGGCTGACTATCCTTCACATTTGTCTACCACCATCACACCTGTCAATTACTCTCCCTCACACCTGTCAACTCGTCACACACCTGTTAACTCGTCACACACCTGTCAACAAAGCAACAGCAACGAGCCACAACACCACCAAGGTCACGTGATCCTTCCCACCAACCCCCTAACAGTCACCAGACAGTAATCGCTTAGTAATATTGGTCCCTAATGGTGGCTTTCAAGGCTGCCGCGCTGTCCCGTCCTCCTCCTCCTATACCCCTCTATAGTGGTGAGGGGAAGCTGTGCCCTCATCTTATACCCTCTCGCACGGAACATTTGTGGGTGGGTGCTGCTGCAGAGGAGGAAGTTGCTCTAGCTTTGCACGCGGCGCGTTTCCTCTGTGCCTCTGCAGTCCGTCTATTTTCTGCCGCACGGGCCCCTGTGGTTTTCCAAGTTGGACGGTCGACTCCCGTCTTTGAGAGAACTCCTTGAAGCAGTCCTTGAATCGTTTCTTCTGCTCCCCAGCAGAACCCGTGCCCCTGGCGGAATTCTCCAGACAGCAGGTGTTTAAGCAGTCTGCTGTCAGGAATTCTGACAAATGTGGCCTGCCCAGCTGGTCTGAGTTTTCTATAGGAGGGTATAGACGTGTCCCTTCTAGGACCTTCGTGTCCGGGATTTTGTCCTGCCACCTGATGTTGAGAAGTCTGCGGAGACTACTCAAGTGAAAGTGATTGAGCTGTTTGGCGTGTCTGCTGTAGACAGTCCAGGTCTCTCTGGCGTGGAGAAGGGTGGTGAATAAGTTTGCGAGTAAGTCTCCAGTTTGGTGGTAAGTGTGAGGTCCCTAATAGATATTCTCACGGAATCTTCCAAAAGCAGCGCCGCCCTTGGCGGTCCTGTTGTTGACTTCTGAGTCTATGTTCACTGTTCTTGAGAGTTTGGCGCCAAGATTGGTAAAGTTGTCAACTGTCTGCAGGTTCTGGCCGTTGTGAGTGATGTGCGGGTCCTGGTAGGGTATTCCGGACGCGGGTCCTGGTAGGGTATTCCGGACGCGGGTCCTGGTAGGGTATTCCGGACGCGGGTCCTGGTAGGGTATTCCGGACGCGGGTCCTGGTAGGGTATTCCGGACGCGGGTCCTGGTAGGGTATTCCGGACGCGGGTCCTGGTAGGGTATTCCGGACGCGGGCTGGTACATGACCTCAGTCTTTTTGGTGGTGATGATAAGTGATGTTGTCGCAGGCTTGTGAGAAGCAGTGTGTTTCGTGCTGCTCTGTGCTGGTGTTGAGGGCACAGTCATCAGCGAACAGGAAGTCTTTTATGACAGTGTCTTCACCTTTGTAACAACCGGTAGGCTCCTGGTTGAACAGCCCACCGTCAGTCCTGTATCTGGTGGGTATTCCGCCCTGGCGATCACAGAAGACATCAGTGAGCATGGCCAACAATACCATGCTGACGAGTGTTGGGGCGAGAACGCAGCCCTCCTTCACCCCGCTCGTCACTGGGATGGCTTCTGACTCGTCTCCATCGTCCAGTACTTTCACCATGATGCTATCGTGGAGCTGCCGGACAATCGCAGTAAACTTGCCGTTACAGCCAAACTTCTCCATTATCTTCCACAAGCCAAGGACCTTTAGGAGCCGGTCGGCCGAGCGGCGGGGACACTAAAGCCCCGAAATCATCTCAAGATAACCTCAAGATAACCATCCGTGCTGGCCGTATCGAAGGCCTTGGTCAGGTCGACGAAGGTCACGAAGAAGTCGTTATGTTGCTCTTGGCATTTTTCTTGGAGCCGGCGAGCAGCAAATATCATATCGACAGTTTCACCTCCTGCGGAACTGCATTGGCTCTCTGGGTGGAGACCCCCTGCTCAAGGTGTTGAAGGAGGCGATTGAGTAGGATACGAACCAGGATGTTCCGGACGATGGACAGTAGCGTAATGCCCCCCGGTGATTATCGCAAGACTGCCGGTGGCCTTTCCTCTTGTACATGTGAACTATGCTGCCATCTTTCAACTGTTGTGGGACCTCCACTTTATTCCACGAGGACTGGAAGAGCTTTGTCAGTTTCTGCATCATGACTGTGCCTCCTGGTGTGTGTATACTTCAGCAGGGATTGCACCTGATCCTGTCGTTTTGCCACAGGACAGCTGCATGATCACCCTCCTGACAGGGGGTATAAGGTGATCGGAAATTTGCCCAACCATATCCGTCCCGCCCCGGATTCGAACACGGAGTTCTCGAATGTGAATCAACAACGAACCAATAACAAAAAAAAGATTTTGAAAGGCGTGTGACATCAAACCAAATCTTTCCTGGGTACGGTGTTGTTGTTTTTTTAAACCCAACTTCGTACAGTAGGAAAACTATTTATTATTTTTATTAATTGACAACGCATGAAAGGTGGTTCTTGAAGGACACTTGTGATGTGTATGCTTCAAGGCGACTAAAACATGTGAAGGCGGGGCATGACTTGGACACCCTTGACGATACTCTTGGCAGGAAAAAAACATACTCTCCCAAACCTAGGTTACCCCCGTCTCTGCTGACCTCACGTTCTTGACCCCACGTTCCTGCTGACCCCACGTTCTTGACCCCACGTTCCTGCTGACCCCACGTTCTTGTGTGTTCATATATATATATATATATATATATATATATATATATAACTGAAAACTCACACCCCAGAAGTGACTCGAACCCATACTCCCAGATGCACGCAAAACTGGTATGTACAAGACGCCTTAATCCACTTTGACCATCACGACCGGACATAATGAGGTGATAGCCGAGGCTATTTGAACCACCCCACCGCCGGCACTCGGATAGTAATCTTGGGCATAGCATTTTACCAAATCACCTCATTCTTTGGGGCACACATGAGGAACACAAATGCGAACAAGCCTGAATGGTCCCCAGGACAATATGCAACTGAAAACTCACACCCCAGAAGTGACTCGAACCCATACTCCCAGATGCCACGCAACTGGTATGTACAAGACGCCTTAATCCACTTGACCATCACGACCGGACATAATGAGGTGATAGCCGAGGCTATTTGAACCACCCCACCGCCGGCACTCGGATAGTAATCTTGGGCATAGCATTTTACCAAATCACCTCATTCTTTGGGGCACACGTGAGGAACACAAATGCGAACAAGCCTGAATGGTCCCCAGGACAATATGCAACTGAAAACTCACACCCCAGAAGTGACTCGAACCCATACTCCCAGATGCCACGCAACTGGTATGTACAAGACGCCTTAATCCACTTGACCATCACGTGATTTGATGGTAAAATCACGTGATTTGATGATTTGGTAAAATGCTATGCCCAAGATTACTATCCGAGTGCCGGCGGTGGGGTGGTTCAAATAGCCTCGGCTATCACCTCATTATGTCCGATCGTGATGGTCAAGTGGATTAAGGCGTCTTGTACATACCAGTTGCGTGGCATCTGGGAGTATGGGTTCGAGTCACTTCTGGGGTGTGAGTTTTCAGTTGCATATTGTCCTGGGGACCATTCAGGCTTGTTCGCATTTGTGTTCCTCACGTGTGCCCCAAAGAATGAGGTGATTTGGTAAAATGCTATGCCCAAGATTACTATCCGAGTGCCGGCGGTGGGGTGGTTCAAATAGCCTCGGCTATCACCTCATTATGTCCGGTCGTGATGGTCAAGTGGATTAAGGCGTCTTGTACATACCAGTTGCGTGGCATCTGGGAGTATGGGTTCGAGTCACTTCTGGGGTGTGAGTTTTCAGTTGCATATTGTCCTGGGGACCATTCAGGCTTGTTCGCATATCATATATATATATATATATATATATATATATATATATATATATATATATAATATATATATATATATATATAATATATATATATATATATATATATATATATATATATATATATATATAACATATGTTGTTGAATATGCCCGAAAAGATAAGATTAATAATTCTAACACGAATCTTTTCAATATTTCTGATGTTTTCTTCACTGTCGAGGGTAATTGAAATATCAACTCTCCAAAATTAATTGTTATTTTTTGGTCTGACGCCTAGAAGCGTTTCGTAAGGGCTTCTTTACATTCTCAAAGACTTGTTTACACTTAACACTACACTTATGATACACTTGATACACTGTGTATGATACATTTAACCTACATCTTGCTACAAATCAAATCTACAAATCGGCCAAGGCCCCCCCCCCATCCCAAGACGCATTCATCAATTTTAATACACTATTACAAATAGATTAGGTCTCATATATAAGTTAATATTATTGTGGAGAGACGGGGAGAAGAGAGAGAGATGTGTGTGTGTGTGTGTGTGTGTGTGTGTGTGTGTGTGTGTGTGTGTGTGTGTGTGTGTGTGTGTGTGTGTGTGTGTGTGTGTGTGTGTGTACTCACCTATTTGTGCTTGCAGGATCGAGCATTGACTCTTGGATCCCGCCTTTCCAGCCATCGGTTGTTTACCAACCCGTCCTCTCAAAAAGAACGTCACTTTTCGCTGGTATGCGCGCTATGGCCAAATTTGGACGTAATTTGAAATGAAATCGACTCACAAAAGTGACGTTCTGTTCCGTTTTCTGTTTGAGTCGTCCGGCGTACGCGCAGAGGTTATAAGAGGACACTTTAAATTAACGTTTTTCATAACGTTTTGAAACTGTATGAGAATTTCCTGCCCACCTAACCTATCAGAGGACCCTTAACTTACTGTTGTTGAAAAAAAATCCCAAATTTATTTTCATTTTTTTTTTCATTTTCAAATTACGTCCAAATTCGGCCATACGGGCAAACGGCCAAAAGCGACGTTCTTTTTTAAGAGGACAGGTTGCTGTAAACAACAGCAACGACTCCTGTCCCATTTCCGTGTGTGTGTGGTGTGTGTGGCAGCAAAACAATAGGAAAATATTGGCAAGTCGGAAAACTGTGAACACTTCTGAGAGAAATTATGATGGAGGAGGAGAAATGTAGACACACAACTCATCATTCAACAAAGAAGGGGTGGGGGGGGGGGGGGGGTGGACGGGACGGGGAAGAGGGGTTGAGGCAGTACGCATGAAACCACAACCCATCATACAAGTCCAGCAAGACGCCATGGCTCCATTCGACCCTGAGCTATAGCTGCCCCTAACCCAGCAACAACAACAAAGGCTATTTATTATGGAACGTGTACCCTCAAGGGCGCTGAGACCCTCCTCTCTCCCTGTCTCTCCCCCCACACACACACAGCGCACCTCGCCAACTGTTGGCTGATCTACTCATTCATGGACTTTGTAGTCACGACAACACGTAGCGCCAAACAGGTGGAAAATATATCTCCAAGGCGCCACAGCATCCATAATTAGACACGCATTGAGGAACAAATTCTACTTGTATACCTTTTCCCATGTGAATCAGTGATTCACAGTGATTCATCTGAAACAGTGAATCATAATCTTTCTCTTTTTATCTCGACGTTTCGTCAACAACGTGACACCTTCTGGAATATACAATTGGCACAGAGAACATTTACATAATGTACACAAACATTTACATGGGAAATTGTGCATATATAAGCATGGGGTTCAACTCGCCCCATCTTGCCCGTTCTTGGGGACGAATAGACCTTCATCGTATAGAGCAACGAAAGGTTCAGCTGAGTGTTGTCTAAATGTAGTTGATAGGCATCGAATGCTCTATAATAGTCATTTGAGCATTAATTACTAGTACCACTGTAGCCTCCTTTGGTCGCTGGTGTGGTGTGTGTGGTGTGTTGTGTGTGTGTGTGTGTGTGTTGTGTGTGTGTGTGTGTTGTGTGTGTGTGTGTGTGTGTGTGTGTGTTTTACCCTGATGATTCAGGATGGTGTTGATATAGATGGATTTTTGTTTCATTCTTCCTTTCTGCGAATGAAGTGTAAGACGCCTCACTCAGTGCTAGTAGTGTGCCTAATATAATCTATGTTACGGTGCCCGGAACTGCAGAGAGAGAGAGAGAGAGAGAGAGAGAGAGAGAGAGAGAGAGAGAGAGAGAGAGAGAGAGAGAGGAGAGAGAGACGCTGTACAACCCTGCCCGCTCCTCCACAAAGTCCCGCTGCTCCAAACCACCGCAATTCTAATCATTTAAATAAAAAAAAAATCACACCAACAGACAATACAAAAAGTTAAATATTTTTCATTTTTCGTCAGTCCGTTATCATGGGATAAATAACCATTGGTACCATAGTGAGCATTGGTACCATAGTGAGCATTAGTGCCATAGTGAACATTGGTACCATAGTGAACATTGGTACCATAGTGAACATTGGTACCATAGTGAACATTGGTACCATAGTGAACATTGGTACCATAGTGAACATTGGTGCCATAGTGAACATTGGTACCATAGTGAACATTGGTACCATAGTGAGCATTGGTACCATAGTGAACATTGGTGCCATAGTGAACATTGGTACCATAGTGAACATTGGTACCATAGTGAACATTGGTACCATAGTGAGCATTGGTACCATAGTGAACATTGGTACCATAGTGAACATTGGTACCATAGTGAGCATTGGTACCATAGTGAGCATTGGTACCATAGTGAACATTGGTGCCATAGTGAACATTGGTACCATAGTGAACATTGGTACCATAGTGAGCATTGGTACCATAGTGAGCATTGGTACCATAGTGAACATTGGTGCCATAGTGAACATTGGTACCATAGTGAACATTGGTACCATAGTGAACATTGGTACCATAGTGAGCATTGGTACCATAGTGAGCATTGGTACCATAGTGAACATTGGTACCATAATGAACATTGGTACCATAGTGAACATTGGTGCCATAGTGAACATTGGTACCATAGTGAACATTGGTACCATAGTGAACATTGGTGCCATAGTGAACATTGGTAACATAGTGAACATTGGTGCCATAGTGAACATTGGTGCCATAGTGAACATTGGTACCATAGTGAGCATTGGTACCATAGTGAACATTGGTGCCATAGTGAACATTGGTACCATAGTGAACATTGGTGCCATAGTGAACATTGTTACCATAGTGAACATTGGTACCATAGTGAGCATTGGTACCATAGTGAGCATTGGTACCATAGTGAACATTGGTGCCATAGTGAACATTGGTACCATAGTGAACATTGGTACCATAGTGAACATTGGTACCATAGTGAGCATTGGTACCATAGTGAACATTGGTACCATAGTGAACATTGGTGCCATAGTGAACATTGGTACCATAGTGAACATTGGTGCCATAGTGAACATTGGTGCCATAGTGAACATTGGTACCATAGTGAGCATTGGTACCATAGTGAACATTGGTGCCATAGTGAACATTGGTACCATAGTGAACATTGGTACCATAGTGAACATTGGTACCATAGTGAACATTAGTACCACATAATACCAGGAAACTGCTTACTTTCACCGACGAAAATACCAGGTTTAGCCAGCAGGCTTCCCGGTGGTAAAGTTTTTGACTTCCTCTCTACTCTCTGAATTCACTATTTGTGTCTACAGAATCGAGCTATTAGCTCTTGGGACCCGCCTCTCTAACCAATCTATTTTTTTCTCTATTATACGTACTACTATGTATTTCTCTCTTACACACACGTAAGCACACATTCCCCAGGAAGCTCCCAGGTAGCTAGTTCACTGCTAGGTGGACAGGAGCATCACGGTGAAAAGAAACTATGCCTACTGCTCCCAACAGCCTGTTGACAAAATACAGTATTCAGTAGTATATACTATATATAGTAGTATAAAATACAGTATATATAGTAGAGTTCATATATTCTTCGTATTATTTAAGATGCCTGTATAGCTTTCATCCACTAATCTTTCCCCTCGTTAGGTTTACGTAAAACCCTCTAATGGTTCATCTAGGTACTGTGTAAACTGCGGAATACTTTACCATTCACTGTAAACTCGGTAATCATGTCCTCTTTGTCTTCTAAGATTGTACACTTTCTTACGCATGAGTAATCTCACCTGCTCTTTCAAACCCTATAATACGTTATACACCTTTTATCAATACTCCGTAATACTTCCTACATGCATCACTGTGTATATACACACACGCACCGTAACAGTTCCTGCTTCAAGTTTCAGCCCCGCTCCTGTGCCAGGTAAGTCCGTCACGGGCTCACCATAGCCCGTGCTACTTGGAACTTTTAGTTTCCCAGTAGCTGAATCTTAAACAACAACAACAGTTGCTGCATTCATCACAGGTGTACACAAAGACCTCATCAGAAGAGTGGCCGAACTCATCACGCGAAATGAACTAGAGCGGAAGTATGCCAAATGACCCCGCAATGACAGCCATTCTTATTGTCTCCAAACCTGACTCCACACCTGACCTACACACAAGACCAGTGTCTTCCCCCAAACATGTTGTAAACAAAATTAACGAACTTGAAAGCTGTTTTCTGTTCCGATTGTCAGAGACCTTGATAACGGAGATGTTGAATAGAAAACGAGGAAATTATTCAACCTTGACAAGTTAACTCCTGCTTGTACGAGGCCCAAAAGCTTCTGCCTGGTACCACAAGATATCACACATATATATCTTGAGGGAGTTGTCATTCGTGTGCCTCTTATGTTATCAACTACTCACTGACGGCTCTGCAATCCTAAATATTGGCAGGAGCTGAAGTAACATACATTTCAATTGCGGAAATTGCTTGGCAAGAGTTAAGAAAAGGCATAGAATAGTCACAGCTATAGGCGCCCTACGCGTAGCCAAGATTCATGAAGATTCACCAGATTCACGAAGCAGTTACGCAAGCACTTACGAACGTGTATACATCTTTCCTCAATCTTTGACGGCTTTGGTTACATTAATAAACAGTTTACAAGCATGAAAACTTGCCAATCAACTGTTGTTATTGTTATAAACAGCCTCCTGGTGCTTCGGAGCTCATTAACCGTTTAATAATTGTAAACAAAGCCGCCAAAGTTTGAGGAAAGATGGACAGGTTCGTAAGTGCTGGCGTAACTGCTCCGTGAATCTGACTCAGGATCTACACTACGAAGTCTTCAAAGCAAACGACCATAAAATTGAGTTAATGCTAACCAGTCGAAGATGGATGATAAAGGTCCTGTACTCACCTCTTGGAGCCGGGAGCCGGTCGGCCGAGCGGACAGCACGCTGGACTTGTGATCCTGTGGTCCTGGGTTCGATCCCAGGCGCCGGCGAGAAACAATGGGCAGAGTTTCTTTTACCCTATGCCCCTGTTACCTAGCAGTAAAATAGGTACCTGGGAGTTAGTCAGCTGTCACGGGCTGCTTCTTCCTGGGGGTGGAGGCCTGGTCGAGGACCGGGCCGCGGGGACACTAAAGCCCCGAAATCATCTCAAGATATCCTAGTTGTGCTTGCGGGGGGGGGGGGGGGTAGTGTTGAGCGTTGGCTCTTTGGCCCCGCCTCTCAACCGTGTGGTTTGCGGTTTCCCTGTCATGTTGGAATGCGTGGAAATGAATGAGGTGTTGGTGGCTGAGGACGTTGGGTCCATGGGGCTCCTACATGCAACGGTAAACGTTACTGTTCAACGGTAAACACTACACACACACACACACACACACACACACACACACACACACACACACACACACACACACACACACTCTGGTTAGGGGGCCTGGTGGATAGCGCGCAGAACTCGTAATTCTGTGGCGCGGGTTCGATTCCCGCACGAGGCAGAAACAAATAGGCAAAGTTTCTTTCACCCCTGAATGCCCCTGTTACCTAGCAGTAAATAGGTACCTGGGAGTTAGTCAGCTGTCACGGGCTGCTTCCTGAGGTGTGTGTGTGTGGTGTGGAAAAATAAAGGTAGTTAGTAAACAGTTGATTGACAGTTGAGAGGCGGGCCCAAAGAGCCAAAGCTCAACCCCCCCGCAAGTACAATTAGGTGAGTACACTGGAGGGCCGGACACATGGAGAGCTAAGCTGCTGGACGTGGCAACAAGAAACTTTCTAAGCCAGCACATCAAGGAACCAACAAGAATGAGAGGAGAAGATGAATCAGCAATGATCGATTTGATATTTACCCTAAATGAGTCGGATATAAGGGAAGTTAAGATGGAAGCCCCCTTGGGAATGAGTGATCACAGTGTATTGAGCTTTGAGTACCTGGTTGAGCTAGGAATTATCTCCCCCCCCCCCAAAAAAAAAAGAACTGGGAAACAAAGGGCTGGCGTACCGAAGGGAGATTATGAGGAGATGAAAAAATTCTTAAGAGATGTACCATGGGACACAGAACTCACAACTAAGTCATTACAAGACATATTAGACTATGTCACCCAAAAGTGTCAGGAGGCAGTAAGCAGGTTTGTCCCAGCCCGACAGGAAAAAACCGAGAAGCAAAAGAAGAATCCGTGGTTTAATAGGGCAATGTATGAAAGCAAAGGAGCTGAACAAAAGGGCATGGAGGAACTTCCGTAATAACAGAACACCAGAAAGTAGAGAGAGATACCAGAGAACCAGGAACGAGTATGTTAGTGTGAGAAGAGAAGCTGAGAAAAAGTATGAAAATGATATAGCTAAAAAAGCTAAGACCGAACCAAAGCTACTACAGTCACATCAGGAGGAAGACAACTGAAGGAACAGGTGATAAAACTTAGGGTGGGCGAGGACAGGTACACAGAGAATGACAAAGAGGTGTGTGAAGAACTCAACAAGAGGTTCGAGGAGGTCTTCTCAATAGAACAAGGTGAGGTCACTGTGCTAGGAGAGGGGGCAGTAAACCAGGCGGCCTTGGAAGAGTTCGAAATTACAAGAGATGAGGTCAAGAGGCATCTGTTGGATCTGGACATGAGAAAGGCTGTTGGGCCTGACAGAATCTCACCATGGGTACTGAAAGAGTGTGCAGAGGCACTCTGCTTGCCACTCTCCACAGTGTATAGTAGGTCACTGGAGACGGGAGACCTACCAGAAATATGGAAGACGGCTAATGTAGTCCCAATATACAAAAAGGGCGACAGGCAAGAGGCACTGAACTACAGGCCAGTGTCCTTAACTTGTATACCATGCAAGGTGATACAGAAGGTCGTGAGAAAAAAACTAGTAACACATCTGGAGATAAGGAACTTCGTGACAACCCATCAACATGGGTTCAGGGAGGGTAAATCTTGCCTTACAGGCTTAATAGAATTCTACGATCAGGTGACAAAGATTAAGCAAGAAAGAGAAGGATGGGCGGACTGCATTTTTTTGGACTGTCGGAAGGCCTCTGACACAGTACCCCATAAAAGGTTTATGCATAAGCTGGAGAAACAGGCACGAGTAACTGGTAGGGCGCTCCAGAGGATAAGGGAGTACCTAAGCAATAGGAAGCAGAGAGTTACAGTGAGGGGTGAGACCTCCGATTGGTGTGAAGTGAGCAATGGAGTTCCACAGGGCTCTGTACTCGGACCTATCCTGTTTCTAATGTACGTAAATGATCTCCCAGAGGGTATAGACTCATTCTTCTCAATGTTTGCTGACGATGCCAAAGTTATGAGGACTAAGACAGAGGACAGTTTGAGGCTTCAAGAAGACCTAGACAAGCTGAATGAATGGTCGAACAAATGGTTGTTAGAGTTTAACCCAAGCAAATGTAATGTAATGAAGATAGGTGTAGAAAGCAGGAGACCAGATACAAGGTATCATTTGGGAGATGAAATACTTCAAGAGCCAGAGAGAAAGACTTGTTGGTTGATATCACGCCAGACCTGTCCTCTGAAGCTCATATCAAGAGGATAACATCAGCGGCATATGCCAGGTTAGCTAACATATGAATGGCCTTTAGAAACTTGTGTAAGGAATCTTTCAGAACTTTGTATACCACATATGTCAGACCAATCCTGGAGTATGCAGCGCCAGCATGGAGTCCATATCTAGTCAAGCATAAGATTAAACTGGAAAAGGTTCAAAGGTTTGCCACCAGACTAGTACCCGAACTGAGAGGTATGAGCTACGAGGAGAGACTACGGGAATTAAACCTCACGTCACTGGGAGACAGAAGAGTTAGAGAGGACATAAGCACCACATGCAAGATTCTCAGAGGAATTGATAGGGTAGATAAAGACAGACTATTTAACACAAGGGGCACACGCACTAGGGGACACAGGTGGAAATTGAGTGCCCAAATGAGCCACAGAGACGTTAGAAAGAATTTTTTCAGTGTCAGAGTGGTTGACAAATGGAATACATTAGGGGGTGATGTGGTGGAGGCTGACTCCATACACAGTTTCAAATACAATACAATACAATACAATACAATTTTATTTAGGTAAGGTACATACATACAATAAATTTTTACAAGGATTGGTAGACTTATAGGTAGAGCTAGTACATACAATGCCTAAAGCCACTATTACGCAAAGCGTTTCGGGCATAAGTGTAGATATGATAGAGCCCAATAGGCTCAGGAACATGTACACCTGTTGATTAACAGTTGAGAGGCGGGACCAAAGAGCCAGAGCTCAATCCCCGCAAGCACAACTAGGTGA